TAAATAAGGGTGGTGTTAGACTGGAGAAGACCGTGGGCAGCCAAGAAAACAAACCAATGGATCATCAAACAAACCAACCCACAGTTCTCACTCAAGGCACAAAACACTAGGCTCAAATTATCCTACTTCGGACCCATTATGCAAAGACCTAACTCCTTAGAGAAGGCTTTAAAGGTGGGAAAGGTGAAAGGAAAGAGAAGAAGAGGATGACCAGCAGCAAAGTGGATCAATTCAGTTCCAGTGATGATCAGTGCACCATTGGAAGACATGAAAGACCAGGTGAGGGACCGATCATCACAGAGAAGATCTATCTATGTGCTTACTAAGCATAACAACAATTTGATGGCACATAATCAATAATCAAACTGTGGAGGAGAGAGCCCCCTTTTTACATTCTGATCTTATAATCCATCAGGGTATTCGATCTGTTCGATCTGTTACTAGGCCAGATCTCTGGGGAGGCCATTGCCAAGACTGTCTTGCATCACTACCACCTTGTGAAAAATTTGCTTCTCATTTTTTCATGCATAATGACCGCAAAGTTATATTTTCAAACCTGGGAAGACTAATGAAGTCTAATCTGTATGGAGTAGCATGCATGTTCATGTGTTGCATATTCATTTCAGAAAGGATGGAAAATCTCAACAAATAACACAAATTTGGCTTAATTTCTATTTATTCTAACACATTGATGAATGAATGCATCTACTTGTTACTAGTTGCTGTCATTCATTCCTCATTCTTGTCACTGAGAATTTGGTAGAAGTAGTAGAGGTCTTTGATATGACTGCCTTCAGATGTTCACTATTATCTCCTTAAAATGTTGTGAATGTTGCAGCTTTCCAGTGGGGACATTCTTCCCCAATTCAGTGGTGCCTCAATGTGTTGGATTTAATATTTTCCCTAGTCACACTGGCAAAGAGATTATGGGAATTGAGTCTATTTGTGTGTGGAGGGGGTGTCAAAATTGGGGAAGGGTATTCCATTATATTGTTGTATGGTTATATGAATGAAACAAGTGTGCTTTTTAAAAATACAGATTAATGGACTAAGAGGATAAAGCTGTTTTCCTCACACACTATAATAAAGAGCTAATCTTGACCATCCGTTTGGTAATGGCTCTGTGAAAAGACATGGCAGTTTACTTCTTAATAGGGATGGGCCACCAGGCTCACGTTATACTAGTTCTCTGACATTTCTAATTCTTATTGTCCTTGACATTCCTTTTAAAACATTGAGTTTGGTCAAGTTCCTTACTGGTCTGGCCTAAACATAACTCAGGCCAGGCTTCATGCAGTTAAAAACTAACCTAAAAGCATTTTAAGGTCCCAAACTACAATTCCCAACCAAAAAAGTTTAGGAAGTGTAAAAGTGCTAAGAAATCCTGTCAAATATCTAGGAAAGCCTAAAGTCCTATACAAAAATGTATGTGATGTGGCCCACATGTCAAAAGTTATGAAGAAAAAATTGTATGAGAGAAAAATAGCAGTAAGAAGGCATTTCCTCTGAAGAACAGATGTGAGCACAGTAGGAAGTGTGCATACTTAAGTGCATGTGTGAATAATGATACACGCTTTTTCTAACAAATTAATATGCAAAAGCTAAACAGATATTACTTGAAGATGAAAAAGAAAGCAAAAACAAGGTTAATGCATTTGCCTGTCTCTGTTGTTAGACTTACAAACACACTCTTTAATGTGTAGCTGTGATGGATTACTGGATTTCCAGACCATTTATATTTCTAGCATAGACGTATTGCTTGTCATCTCTTTCTTTTTTATGTTGATAGATTTGTACATAGGATCTCAAACATGCTCTTATACCATCTATATTATTTTATTGACTAATTTGACGAAATTGTATATTTTATATACTCACTTATAATACAAACTATTTTGGGAACTGTGTTATTCCATATTAAATGGTAGTCCTTCGGGCTCGAAGAAGACGCGCTGTTGCGCAGCTCATCTGTGAACATGGAGGTGGCTCTGCGGTCCCAGTCTGGAAGCGCAGAGTCTAGCACAAGGAGGACACTGGAAGTCCATTGCTGTAACTGTGGGTGGTATTCTGTGATGCTGCTCATGGTTTTCTATACTCGCTTATAATAATAATATTTTATATATTACTATTATAAAATAGTATTATTAAATAGTATTATTAAATAATAATAATATTTTGGGAACTGCATTATTCCATATTATGGTCTCTATTATTATACTTTCCTTCCAGTGCTTCTCTGCCTAAAGCAGGAGATCACTGAAAGTAGTAAGTGAATTAAGGGGAAGGATGTAAGTTAATTGAGGATGACTTTACATTCATTGGTGATTCAGAAATCTGCTTCAAACTACTCTCAAACTGTCTTTGACACACCAGTATTTAAAATGAAGGGCTTGCAGAGCTTATATGTGTAAACTGTTAATTGTCATAATGACCCCATAAATATAACTAGAATCCCCATTTTACAGATAGGAGAAATTCGTCTGAAACTGTGTTATTGTTCTTAAGTCATATAATGCATTTTCATGACTGAACAAATTACTTGGAATCCTAGCATCCCTTACTGATGTTCAACAAGGCCTATCCACGTATCTACAAGATGGTTCTTGATTGTCAAGGTAGAAGTTTGTGTATATGAAATAGTTCTGGAAAACAGCACAGAATACCTGAATCACTCATTCCAATCGATGGAGAGCTTGCCTAGCTATAATACAAATTACACAGAGCTAAAGTAGCCAGCAAGAGCCAGTTTGTGTGGTGGTTAAGGCACCGGACTAGAAACTGGGAGACTGTGAGTTCTAGACCCATCTTAGGCATGAAGCCAGCTGGGTGACCTTGGACCAGACATTCTCTCTCAGCCCTAGGAAGCAGGCAACAGCAAACCACTTCCAAAATCTTGCCAAGAAAACTGCAAGGACTTGTCCAGGCAGTGGCCAGGAGTCAAGACTGACTCAAAAAAAAAAAAAAGAGGGGGGAGGCAGTAAAAGAGGG